AACAAATAAACCAATGACATCTTGCCCAAAATATCTTTTCTATCTTGATCTGAAACTTTATTCGACTTCCTGTTTGGCTTTTTTTACCTGATGCAAATTTTCCCCATATTGAATATTTTTTCACTGTTTGTTTTTTTCTAACTTGATTTTTAAAAAAAGGAAATGTTTCTTTTATCTGTTGTCTTTTCCAGTTTTAATTTCTACTTTTGCCTCTGATTCCTCATCTTACTGTTAGTTATTTTTTTTAAATATTTATCTTCACACCAAATCATTTTTTGCTTTGTTTCTACTTAATCCATATTTTTGCTTTTTTTTTTTTTTTGCCAAATAATTCCAGAAAACTGAACTTTCTTTATTTTTCCCCATTTCTGCATCTTTTAATTTATTTTCATTGTTTTTTTAATATTAATTATTTTCACACCAAATTATTTTCTGTTTTCTTTCTGTTTAAGTTTTTTCAAGCGGCTTTTTCTTTGAAGGGAAGGGACTTAAAATCAAGATTGAAAATCAGGGCATTTTTTTCTAATTCATGCTATCTCCTTTCTTCTTTCTCCCTTTCTTCTTTCTCCCTTTCTTCTTTCTCCCTTTCTTCTTTCTCTCTTTCTTCTTTCTCTCTTTCTATTCAGTTCTTCTTATTTCTTCCTGCTTTAATTTATTTCTTCTGCTTCTTCTTGTGATATATGTTCCTTCTATTTACTTCTTATTTCTTCTTCTTGATATATTTTCCTTCTTCTATTTACTTTTTTTTTCTTCTTCTTCTTCTTCTTGATATACTTTCCTTCTTCTATTTACTTCTTCTTTTTCTTCTTCTTCTTGTGATATATTTTCCTTCTTCAATTTACTTCTTATTTCTTCTTCTTTTGATATATTTTCCTTCTTCTATTTACTTCTTATTTCTTCTTCTTCTTCTTTTGATATATTTTCCTTCTTCTATTTACTTATTTCTTCTTCTTCTTCTTCTTGATATACTTTCCTTCTTCTATTTACTTCTTCTTTTTCTTCTTCTTCTTGTGATATATTTTCCTTCTTCTATTTACTTCTTATTTCTTCTTCTTCTTCTTCTTGTGATATATTTTCCTTCTTCTATTTACTTCTTATTTCTTCTTCTTCTTCTTTTGATATATTTTTCTTCTTCTTTATTTCTTCTTCTTCTTCTTCTTGATTACTTTCCTTCTTCTATTTCTTCTTCTTTTCTTTTCTTCTTTGATATATTTTTCATTCTTCTATTTCGTCTTATTTCTTCTTCTTCTTCTTTTGATTATTTTCCTTCTTCTATTTACTTCTTATTTCTTCTTCTTCTTCTTCTTTGATATATTTTCCTTCTTCTATTTACTTCTTATTTCTTCTTCTTCTTGATATATTTTGCTTCTTCTATTTACTTCTTATTTCTTCTTCTTCTTCTTCTTCTTGATATATTTTCCTTCTTCTATTTGCTTCTTATTTCTTCTTCTTCTTCTTTTGATATATTTTCTTTCTGTTTACTTCTTATTTCTTCTTCTTCTTCTTCTTGATATACTTTTTTCTTCTATTTCTTCTTTTTCTTCTTCTTCTTGTGATATATTTCCTTCTTTATTTCTTCTTATTTCTTCTTCTTCTTCTTCTTTTGATATATTTTCCTTCTTCTATTTACTTCTTATTTCTTCTTCTTCTTCTTTTGATATATTTTGCTTCTTCTATTTACTTCTTATTTCTTCTTCTTCTTCTTCTTCTTGATATATTTTCCTTCTTCTATTTACTTCTTATTTCTTCTTCTTCTTCTTTTGATATATTTTGCTTCTTCTATTTACTTCTTATTTCTTCTTCTTCTTCTTCTTCTTGATATATTTTCCTTCTTCTATTTACTTCTTATTTCTTCTTCTTCTTCTTTTGATATATTTTCCTTCTTCTATTTACTTCTTATTTCTTCTTCTTCTTCTTCTTCTTGATATACTTTCCTTCTTCTATTTACTTCTTCTTTTTCTTCTTCTTCTTGTGATATATTTTCCTTCTTCTATTTACTTCTTATTTCTTCTTCTTCTTCTTGATATATTTTCCTTCTATTTACTTCTTATTTCTTCTTCTTCTTTTGATATATTTTCCTTCTTCTATTTACTTCTTATTTCTTCTTCTTCTTCTTGATATACTTTCCTTCTTCTATTTACTTCTATTTTTTTCTTCTTCTTCTATATTTTCCTTCTTCTATTTCTTCTTATTTTCTTCTTCTTCTTCTTTTGATATTTTTCCTTCTTCTATTTACTTCTTATTTTTCTTCTTCTTCTTGTGATATATTTTCCTTCTTCTATTTACTTCTTATTATTTCTTCTTCTTCTTGATATATTTTCCTTCTTCTATTTACTTCTTATTTCTTCTTCTTCTTCTTTTGATATATTTTCCTTCTTCTATTTACTTCTTATTTCTTCTTCTTCTTCTTTTGATATATTTTCCTTCTTCTATTTACTTCTTATTTCTTCTTCTTCTTCTTGATATATTTTCCTTCTTCTATTTACTTCTTCTTTTTCTTCTTCTTCTTGTGATATATTTTCCTTCTTCTATTTACTTCTTATTTCTTCTTCTTCTTCTTCTTGTGATATATTTTCCTTCTATTTACTTCTTATTTCTTCTTCTTCTTCTTTTGATATATTTTCCTTCTTCTATTTACTTCTTATTTCTTCTTCTTCTTCTTTTGATATATTTTCCTTCTTCTATTTACTTCTTATTTCTTCTTCTTCTTGATATACTTTCCTTCTTCTATTTACTTCTTCTTTTTCTTCTTCTTCTTGTGATATATTTTCCTTCTTCTATTTACTTCTTATTTCTTCTTCTTCTTCTTTTGATATATTTTCCTTCTTCTATTTCCTTCTTATTTCTTCTTCTTCTTCTTCTTGATATACTTTTCTTCTTCTATTTACTTCTTCTTTTTCTTCTTCTTCTTGTGATAAATTTTCCTTCTTATATTTACTTCTTATTTCTTCTTCTTCTTCTTGATATATTTTCCTTCTTCTATTTACTTCTTATTTCTTCTTTTTCTACTTGTGATATATTTTCCTTCTTCTATTTATATCTTATTTCTTCTTCTTCTTGATATACTTTCCTTCTTCTATTTACTTCTTATTTCTTCTTCTTCTTGTGATATATTTTCCTTCTTCTATTTACTTCTTATTTCTTCTTCTTCTTCTTGATATATTTTCCTTCTTCTATTTACTTCTTATTTCTTCTTCTTCTTCTTGTGATATATTTTCCTTCTTATATTTACTTCTTATTTCTTCTTCTTCTTCTTCTTCTTGATATATTTTCCTTCTTCTATTTACTTCTTATTTCTTCTTCTTCTTCTTCTTTTGATATATTTTCTTTCTTATATTTACTTCTTATTTCTTCTTCTTCTTCTTCTTTTGATATATTTTCCTTCTTCTATTTACTTCTTATTTCTTCTTCTTCTTCTTTTGATATATTTTCCTTCTTCTATTTACTTCTTATTTCTTCTTCTTCTTCTTCTTGATATACTTTCCTTCTTCTATTTACTTCTTCTTTTTCTTCTTCTTCTTGTGATATATTTTCCTTCTTCTATTTACTTCTTCTTTTTCTTCTTCTTCTTGTGATATATTTTCCTTCTTCTATTTACTTCTTATTTCTTCTTCTTCTTTCTTGATATATTTTCCTTCTTCTATTTACTTCTTATTTCTTCTTCTTCTTCTTTTGATATATTTTTCCTTCTTATATTTACTTCTTCTTCTTCTTCTTCTTGATATTTTTCCTTCTTCTATATACTTCTTATTCTTTCTTTTTTCTTGTGATATATTTTCCTTCTTCTATTTACTTCTTATTTCTTCTTCTTCTTGATATACTTTCCTTCTTTACTTCTTCTTTTTTCTTCTTCTTCTTGATATATTTTCCTTCTTCTATTTCTTATTTCTTCTTCTTCTTCTTTTTGATATATTTTTCCTTCTTATTTTTCTTATTTCTTCTTCTTCTTCTGATATATTTTCCTTCTTCTATTTCTTATTTCTTCTTCTTCTTCTTGATATATTTTCCTTCTTCTATTTACTTCTTATTTCTTCTTCTTCTTCTTTTGATATATTTTCCTTCTTCTATTTACTTCTTATTTCTTCTTCTTCTTCTTTTGATATATTTTCCTTCTTCTATTTACTTCTTATTTCTTCTTCTTCTTGATATATTTTCCTTCTTCTATTTACTTCTTCTTTTCTTCTTCTTCTTGTGATATATTTTCCTTCTTCTATTTACTTCTTCTTCTTCTTCTTTTGATATTTTCCTTCTTCTATTACCTTCTTATTTCTTCTTCTTCTTCTTCTTGATATACTTTTCTTCTTCTATTTACTTCTTCTTTTTCTTCTTCTTCTTGTGATATATTTTCCTTCTTATATTTACTTCTTATTTCTTCTTCTTCTTCTTCTTCTTGATATATTTTCCTTCTTCTATTTACTTCTTATTTCTTCTTCTTCTTCTTGTGATATATTTTCCTTCTTATA